CGGTTAACATGGCGGTGATTCGAGGGAGAGAGACGGTGATCGATCGGCGCAGCGAACTTGTTTGTCGTACGTTATTTGTAAAATGGCAGGAAAGTCGTCGATGCCGTTGGAAACGATCGATTAGCTCTGGCGAGCGTATCGAGATCTATCACGTAACGTTTGGCTAATTGAAAAGACGGAACGCGTAGGAGTATATTAAGTCGTATCGCGTTGCGCAAGATAGGGTGGCAGGAAATGGACTATAAATTAAGTACACATGAAATAACAACATTTCTTCCTCCTGTCACTGATAGAGTAATTCACATACACGGTGTTTTGTTTTTACGTCAGTCGTCAGCTATAATTATTATAAAAATATTTTCTTCGTCGTTCATTGACATCCAATGATTTATTTATAGCTGTTTTATTGTGTGTGAATAACATGCAATTTAAAATTTCGATGAAATGCGTGTTAATTATTGAAGGAAATACGCTTCCTTCTATAATCCGATTAAAACGTTCGCAAGTATATTTACTAAGTACGAGATGAGTACGTGATAAAACTCGTCAGGATAAAACTCAGTCGGTCGATTTGGAACTTGTCGAAAGCGAGATCCATTCTCCCCGCGCTCCCTTTAAGCTACTTATTCCACGGCTTAAACTCGTTCGCGGTTGCTCGCCCGACGGCGAAATCCGAGACAGGTTCTCAATTTAAGATGGATCAATCCGTCCTGACGGATAATCTTCTCTTGGAAGGAACTTGAATTAAAAGGATGAACGAGTCGAGGAAAGAAGCAGACCGTTTCCATTTTACACGCTGACAATTATAGGACGTATATATGGACTGCAATTATCGATTCACGCCTTGCTCTGTTCATTCATGACGAAATAATCACTTTACATTTTGTTCGGAATTAAAAAATAAAGTCCCGCTGAATATTTAATAATGTCAGACAAAGGAATTTGCCACAAGCGATCTATCTCTTTTTTTATTTCTACACTGAGAAAAAATATCCTAAATTTAAATAAAATATTTATTTGTGAATAGTGCCAACTAAATATTTATTAAATATAAAGATATATTTATTTGGTACAAAAAACATTAATTTGATTCGACAATCACTTCTTTCGGTTAAGTAAAAATTTTGTTAGTAAAAATTTATTTAGTGTAAGTAAATATTTAGTTGGCATTCAAATAAATATTTATTTAAATTTAGGATATTTTTTTCTCAGTGTATCCATAACTTATTTAGACTTATTATCTATTTTTAAATATTTTTATTTATTCTGTATTTATTATAAATTTATTTAAATATAAATTTTAAATATGTTAATAACGCTATTTATACGTTTCCAGCGTAGAGATGATAGTGTTCATCGAATTCTCTCACGTCTCGATAGATTTTTATGCAAATCCGAATAGAAATAGTGAAGAAACGTTAGATGCGAGTATATTGAACTGTCGTACGACGTTGTGTATGGATTTAAATACATTGCGCTTTTCTTGAACATTTATATCAATAACACGCATCACCTGTCATATGTACTCATTCATATCACGCACCCACGCATGTCAGCTTAACCAGTTCCTTTGACTCGATCTTTAGCTAAGGTGCTTAGACAGAAAACATCGAATGTTCCGACGGTCCGTTAACACGAATTATTTCCGTATTATAATCTTACTTTTACAATACATTTCAATGATAAGAGATATATATTTCTTCCCACTTGCAAATTGTGTTTTACGGAAAAATATACTGTGGACGAGAACTATAAACAGTTAATCCTGTGCAAAGTAAATAAAAATAAATAAGAATTCGCGCGAGAAACTTGTTTTCTTACTTCCTTCTTGAGGCCATGGGCGAACGGAAAGGGATGGCTCCCTTCCTCTCCTGATACTCGTTTTCTCTCTCTTCATTCCTACGGCTTGGACGACCAACAGAAAAAGATTAAGAGAATACGAGGGATTGTTTTTTGCCCGCCGCGTTCTGATCGTGGAGGACTAGACAAAAGAGAATAGCAGAGAAGCCCTCTAGGGGCTTTTTTTACTCGTCTCATTCGATCACGGGAACGAAAGAGTTCAACTCGGAATATCTTCTTTGTTACGCAAGAAATTATTTATTATTAATTATTTACTGCGTTGCTTGAGGAAGATTAGATGCGTTAGATACGAGATAAAGTATTGTTATAAAAATACGCTTTTGAAAAATCTCGTTTCTTGACAAATATAGCAATAGCACAACAATAGATATATTTTCTAATATATTTTGAAAGACTATAATAAATTTAACAGAACTATTTCGTCAATTCTTCGAATATTACGTCAATTCATCGATATCGCGGAAGGAAATCATTCGAAAACGCAAGTGAATTGTACATATGATGAGATCTCTTCAAGGTTGCCTTTTTCTCTTTCTACTACATCTTGATTATTGTCGAAACTCACGGTGACGCGTCTGAAGGTGCGAAGTGAAAGGGAACTTGAATTTTCGAAGATCACTATGGAGGCATTTCGTAGTGAGAGAGACAGTCGCTATTTCTTCAGGAATGAGTCGGCCGAATATTTCAATCTGTATATACGTCCAACCAATATATTCCGACGAAAAATGGAAAGGAGACGAAGCGAGAAAGAAGAAAAAAGAAAAAGAAAGGAGAAAACAGCGGCCGCTTGTTTGGTGAACGGACCCGCGAGAAAGAGTCTCACTCGAAATGGCGGGAATTCGACGGGAGAGTGCACGGGCAACACACTCGCTTCGTAATAACGGGGTGAACAAAAAAAAAAAAAAAAATTAAGCGGTCGCAGGAGAGAAGTTGGCGCGGTTTTTCTTTCGTGCCATCCAAGGTCTCTCCCGCGTGCATATCTCACGCCGATTAATTGCGGTTGATTTTTATTTATTGCAAAAGTGCAAGGTGGCGCGCGCCGGTGTGCGTGCGTGGTTAATGGTTATTGGCTCGCCGATATTCCGCGTGCGGAGAACGGTGCGCGCGCGCGCGGGATCGCCGCCGCGCGTAAGGGTGCGTTTCCACTGAGCGCGCCACGCGTCGCGTCGTCCGTCCGCGTCACGAGTTAACCAATCAAAACATCCAATTTTATTGTATCATTCGACGCGCGACTTTTTGCGCGACGCATTGTAATTTCGCTCGACATTTTAGAAATAAAAGATTTTAGAGACAAAATATTCTTCCTGGATCGCGCGGATTCACCATGAGGCAGGTCACGAAAAATGGAACAGTATTCGTAAGTTCTAAATTATTAATTGATCAAAATGATATTCCTATTTCCTTCCTGAATTAGTACGACGCTATTCTTGAACTTCTTTCGCGTCGCGTCGTGACGCGATGGACGACGCGACGCGCTCAGTGGAAACGTACCATAATTCGCACATACGCGCGAGATGGTAGTCTTCGTCATAATAATAAATTCTATATAGCAACGTGACTTATCCGCACCGCTCGCGGCTAAGTGCGCGCAATGATTGTTAATTGTCGACGCTGATACATGCGCAGATAGCGCTCCGCTCCTCGAGCGCTATGTACTCCCATTCTAATTCTTTCTGTGACGTCTACGCTACCGTCGGTGTAAACAGTCTGCCATAATTCGATAATAATAAAAATTTAATAAAAAGAATAGTTATTGATCGTTATTTACTGTTTTTTTTTTTATGTACAGACGTCATTGGCTTTATCAGATCGCCCATGATTTATTCGTGCTTCTGGAAAAACATTTAGTCTTATATTGTTGGCTGGCGCTGAGTAAATATTGATTTAATCTCGGTTGATATAATCTAGTACAAGGTAATTTTCAAAAATAAGTTGGACGAATTACATCTGTAAATTTCCGACCTTCGAGTACTTAGTTCCTTTGCGAAGGGGATAGAATTGCTTCGCGTAACTCGTAAAAGTCCGCAATTATTACTCTCGTTTCGGTCGTACACTCGTAAATACGCGCGCTAACGAAGCACTGAATCCTTTACGTTCATTTGTGAGCCTGTAACAAGCTCCGAAGATGACATTTAGCTTATCCTTCCATTTTTTCGTTATAACCTTTGCCGCGTCTTCGGGTCCTCTCGTTTTAATATATTATCACTTTGAATATATCTCCAGGCAATCTCGGCAGAAGGAAAGTATGCGTGTATCCGGCAATCACGCCTTTTTCTCCCAATGTCTTTCGCAACGTTACAAACAAACGTGATTCATTCTCATTAATCTTTTTTACTTACTGTTATCTTTGTAGCACCAACCAACGACACGATATTAATCAGTTTATGCCGCAATGTAATGTATTCATAATCTCATGTGCGAATGCACATAGCAATATATTTTTTGACATACTTTGTGAAAATACCGGAGATACCTGTTAATGAAAAACATTAACATCAAAATTCCCACTGCAGTATTTCGTGCCCGCACATTTCGTTTGTAACGTTGCGGTCGCATCTGCTGTGCGGATAGGACAAACCGCAAGAGGCATTGTGAGTCAATAATCAGAGAAAGGATGAATTACAACCTGTCTCGAATACAACGTCATTCGACGACTGTGACACGGTCAGGATAGATTTAATTATAATATATGTGAAATATGCGCGTGGGACTTGCGACGTAAACATATACTTAATACTCGCATACGATTATCCAAGAAATATTCGCGAACACGATTAAATCGGGCTACGAGATGCTATATAATATGAAAATTCTTGCTCCCGTTAGATATATTATCGCATACGCTGATCCTTTTCGTTAGATAAGGACTTTTGTTTATGCATTATTTCGATTAATTCCTCAACCAAGTTAATAATCTGTTATTTAGCATTACGATATAAATATTTAATGATTTCCTTGAATCTATGTGATGTAGGCGTGTACTTTTTGGTTTGTAAGAACAGTCGTATTCATTCCGAAGGTTATCTGATCATCTGAATCGACGACTAGAGAACATGTGATAAAGATCGAAAGATCGAGCGCAAACTGGTTGAGCGGATACGAGGAAAATTCGCGAAACGTAACGGAAAAACATGACTTACCCAGCGCGAAACGACGCTGCAGCGGCGGCGGCGGTAAGCGTCAGTTGTTGTGCGGCTGCAGCTGCACCGGCGGCGGACGGATCGGTCGCGACGAGCTCCTGCAGCACAAGAACCGTCGTCGTGGTTGTCGCGGCGCCGCCATTCGGCACGGTCGCGTTGACGGCATGGCGCACCGTCGGCGGCAGATCATCCTCGTGCTGCAACTGCAGC